GAAGAGAGTGGTTGGAAGAAAACCAAAGTCAACAAGATCTGGAATTTTGTGAGCCGCAGAAAAGGGGCCTCCAGCCAGAAAAAGCGACCTCAGTCCATGCTTTTACTGGGAGACACCTCCAGGCTGTCAGAAGTGAAACCTAAATTCAGGTTCATGGATCGAATGAAGTCATTCAGGAGGCTGAAGTCTTCTATTGGGGCCTTCAAGCACACTCCCCCTAGGAGCAGCAAGATCCAGGAGGTGCAGGATGCCCCAGGTATCTATCAGATGAGGAAGGCTAAGGAGGCCCTGAAGCCCTTCCGCCATTCCTACGCCGGCCCCATCAAGGGCTTGGAGCCCTTCCTCACAGACGTACAGGGGCTTGGGCAAGCCTCCAAGAGGGTGAACGAGAAAGTACTGGCCTTTGATGAGTTTAGCATCCATGTGGAGGACGACTCCTGGCAGAAGGTTCCTGAAGAACTTCAGGGTGAAAGGCAAGGCAGAACCTACCTGAAAAGCATATTCCCCAGGGGTTGTGAAGGCCTGAGTACATGGGCCAATGATGCTGAAATCCTGAAATTTGAGACTGCCATCGAGGACTCCACCTTGGAAGCAGACTTGCAAGGTAGTTACGAAGGGAACCCTGAAGACCAGTGCCGAGAAAAGGCTGCGCCATTGGGCGTCATCATCAAATTCTTTAATAGTGTGGCTGAGGTGGCCCGCAAGTGGCAGGCATTCACCCGTGAAGAGCCACAGTTGTCCCGCCACCACCATGAGGCCTGCTTCAGGAGTAGCAGCAATAGATTCATCCGGGATGGCACTGTCTCCCTGTCCTCCTTACCACTCAACCGGTCCTGCCAGACCACTGAGGCCTCACTGTGGAATAGTACCTTGGGAAGGCTTTGGAAACACCACCACCACCTGAAGCCCTCACAGAGCTTATGCACTTTTGAGATGAGCATTGAGAGTGAAGAAATGCTGGACCAGGACCTAGTGAGTCCCTGTATTGCTGCCACCTCTTCCCCAACCTTGACCATCTTAGAGTTCCAGGACAACCCAGTGCAGCAGAACAGCCATGGGCACGGCAGTCATGGCCAAATCTACTGCAGCACCTTTACCAGGGAGCACTCCTCCTCTGAGGAGCTTGAGGAAGACACTGAGACTGTGGTCAGCTTCCTCAAGGAAGATGACAATGACAGGGAGTCCCCTGAGCTGCGTGTCAATGCAAGGAGGTTTGCCACTGAGATTGTCATGGAAAAGCTAGAGGAGAAACTCAACGAGATAAAGGAGCAAGAGGCTAGTAGGGGGCCTGAAGTGTCCAGCCCAGCCAGGCAGCCCCAGGAGCCTCAATTGGAAATGGGGGCAGCAGAGGCAGAGGGCAAAGCCGGCGAGCCCTACACTGGAGTCTGTGATGCTCAGGTAAGGCTGTTTTTCTTTTTCTTTTTCTTTTTCTTTTTTTTAATCACTATTTGTAACATTCAAGACACTAGAAGCCAGCTAAATTCCATGCCCTGCCCCACCCAAACCACCTCCAGCCAGAAATGTCTCAAAAGGAATGTTCCCAGTAGTCAGTTGCAAGAGACTTGATTGATCCTAAAACCCTGGGTGACTTTTGCCTCTTCTTGGAGCTGAGTTCCTATATTCACACCTCAGTTCAGCCATGGACAGAAACCTGAAGCTCTGGGAGTAGAAGGAGAGTCACTATGATTCTTTAATGATGTCAAAGACAGCATGACCTCCTGTTTTCCTTAGGTGGTGAGACATCTTTCTGGCTTTGGCCCCCTGCCCTCACCCTCCAGCATCAGCTAGATGCAAAGACTGGGGTCAAGGAAAGACTCTGGGCTGGGTGTCAGGATATCTGTTTGTGTCAGTAACATTATTTGACTTGAAAAATGTAGTCCTAGGACAGCCCACTAACATTCTTCTCCCAGCATTCATTTCATGTAGCTGTCTATGGGGATCTTGCAGGGCCTTTTCGTGTACATTGTTTTTATTTAATGCTTACAGTAACCTTGTGAGGTAGGAGTGATTATCCTCATTTTAGCAGCGAGGAAACAAGCTCAAAGATGTTGAGTGACTTATTCAAAATTATACAGATTATGGCAGTATTTGGGTTCAAATTTGGGTACTTACTTTTGAGTCTAAGTCTAGTATTCTATCTAGACTGTCTAAGTCTAGTTTTCAGGGGGGTTAATTTTAATGATGATGGGCAGCCGTTTACCACACCCTTACTCAAGGACAAAGAGAAATATGGTAGAAATGTAGTAGGAGGAATGCTGCATACTAGTAGGGATTCTCTGGCTTTGAGAATTATGGATGTCTTTATGAGGGAATATGCTATAATACTATTGTTTCTCCAGATTATTTTAGGGCCAAGTATTTTTTAAGCATAAAGTTCTTCTTGGTGGTAGCAGTGTGTGGGTAAATGGATTACCTTGGTAGTTCTTGACCTGTCTGTCCCTGCCATCTCTCACATCTCACTCTCAGAGAACTTGGGCTTCATTAGGACAGAAGTAATAAGCCTCCTTTTTCTGAAAGGATATTAATATGTTTATGAGCATTCTCTTTCTATATCATTTATGGTAAGCTTTAAGGGCATAAAAATTGGCATAATATGGTCAGGAGTAAATGTTATTGCAGAGGTTTTTAAGACCAATAATCAAACAAACATATGTAATGACTCCATTAGCTGATAATTGCAGCTGGGCACTACATGTCCAAGGTTACCAGTGGCCAGGAAGAGGGTCATAGATGAGCACATCACCTTACTATTGACTGGACACAGAGATAAATTGTGGATTTTTTTAAAGCACAGGTTTTGGAATTACAAACAATTGGATGTGACTTGCCCTTTCATCTGTGAAATGGGGCTAAATACTACCTACTTAAGAGGGCTCTTGTAAGGATCTAAAGATCCATTGTATGTAAGCTACCCAGCCTAGTACCATTCATAACATGTTGTGGGACTCTATGATGTGGCACCAGTTGTCATTATTATTTAAACATGGTAAATTATAAATAAATGTGAACAACATTCAGCCAGAGAAACAGTTCAAAACAGTACTGTTGCAGCAGCAGATTGATGCCATTGCAGAAATTGTCTGAAAATCAGGAAACACTGGGTTCTAGTCTTTTCTTTAGCCTGATTTGCTTTGTGACCTCCAGCTAGCTATTTCCTCTCTCTAGGCCTCAGATTTTCCATTTGAAGGATCAGTTTCTAAGGTTCTTCATGCCTTGATTTTCTCTAGTTCTTTCCTTTCACATAAACCTGTAATTATCTATGTCCAGTGGGAAACTGATCACCTTGGTTCAGCCTAATGCCTCATTTCCTACTGGCTTTCCTCTGAGGGCTTCCTGTGCCCTCTGGTGGTTTCAAGGAGATGCTGCACAGCTTTCCTTGGGATGTTAAACACCAGTCAGGTCCTGAATGTCAAGGGACATTGATATGGGTCAGGGGCCCTGTTCGTCCAGTCACATACTTTTACAGATGATGGGGACACAGTCTCGAAGGGAAGGGGTTTTCTTGGACACACGGGAACGGAGAGACAAGTAGAATCTGAGCATTCCAACGTGGGCTCTGACACGTATCTTATTCTCTTTCTGGGTTTCGGAGCCCTCTTTGCCAGCTGGAAATTCTCATCTTCAGCTCAGGCACCTCGCATGTCTGTTGTGGCTAAATTGGGATAATTGATATGAAAACAATGCATTGTTAAGCAGCAAAGTCCACATGATTGCATTGGATTATTATATACAAATGGAAGTGAAAAACCTAGTAAGCCAAACAGACTCAGGTCCTTCTGTTTTACAGGGAAACTGGGCTTTGGCAGGCTTCCTCTGGGGTGCTTCATTTTTGAGATCCAGTCATCCAACCCTCCAGAACTAAATAGCGCTCAAACTTGTGATTTATTTGGTCCAGATTTGGCTATGGTCAATTTTGGGGCTGCTATCTTAGCCAAACAGAGGGCATAGTTTTAAGGGGATGATGTCAGAGGGCAGAAATTAGGTATTACCAAGGGTCAGTGAGGTCTTAAAATTTCTCCATGCCTCACTCCCTGCACCTGGAAAATGAGGAGTGTAATACCAGTAATTAGAGCTAACATTTACACAGTACTTACGGTGTGCCTAGGCGTTGCTGTGAGCATTTTACATATGTGAATGTATTTCATCATCACAACTACTCTGTGAGTCAAGGACTATCTTTAAAATGAAGATAATATTAATAACTACCCTATAGGGTCGTGAATATGAAATGAGTAAATACACATAAGTGCCTATAACAGTGTGTGGCCAAGAGTCATTGTGCAATAAATGTTGGTTATTTTCATCAGTTGTTAAAAAGCAGACATCGTAGGAAGGAACTATATCTCAATCCTATCTTTAGCTAACTATTTAGTGAGTATTTGGTGGAATACAAGTTAAGAAAGTGGAATACTAATAAGAATTCATTAGATTCATACAGGACTTTATACTATCCAGAATGCTTTCCCATATATAAGTTGATTTGCAAAACTAATATAGTTATCATTATTATTATCATTTCCATATGACAGATGAGAAACTTGAAGCATGACATATGGGAGAAAAAATATTGAACTTGGAGTCAAAAAGCTTAGTTTCAAAGTCCTGGCTCTGGCACTGTACCAGATATGTGACTTTTGATTTTAATCAGTTTGACTGTTTATTTTCTTCATTTGACAACTGGAAATAGAAAGTCTCCTCTGCTTCCTTTTTAAGGAAGGAAAAAGATGCAGCTATATTGAAACTTACTATATGCTTTTACATTTGTTATCTCATTTGATTCCCCCCAGGAAATATTTAATTGTCTCCCAGTTCTGCATGGCTGTGGAAGCCTCAAGAAATGTAAAATCATGGTGAAAGGGAAGCAAACATGTTTTTCTTCACGGGATGGCAGGAAGAAGTGCTGAGCAAAATGGGGAAAGGCCTCCTTTTTTTTCACATTTGCTAGTATTTATGTAAACACTTGCAATTTATGATACAATCACAGAGGGAAAAATATATGAAAATATTTAGTATTTCATTGTATTCCTCTACATATAAAACCAATTCATTTCATCAGTGGATTAGTAGATTTGAAACTTTTCTAAGTGTATTGAGCACAGTCTTACTACTGTATCACATTAATTTTTGATTGAAGGTAATTCACTCTAATTTTTAAAAGAATCTACTTGGTCAGGAACGCATTGCTTTGCTGGCGTCTGTGATCAGCTGGAGATGGTGGTGAACAGCCTGTTTGCATTTCTTGGAAGAAGATCTTTTATTTGGCTGCTCAACCCAGGTCTCTGCCTTCCTTAGAGACTGAAGCTTATCCTTCAGTTTCTCTGATTCTGGAGAATGGCCTGCAGCCTCCCACTCAGAGCTTGGCTGTGCTCATCTAGTCCATCCCAGGGCTGGAAGGGGCATCCCTGGTGATCCACATAGGTGTCCCAGCAGTGCCTAAATTCATTGTATTTCATCATGGAAATTGGGGCCCCAGCTCTGTCCAGCCTGTGCAGGCCCTTTTTATATCCCTAATAATCATAGATGTGGGCAGTGAAGATGTGCAGGCTCATGGGTGGGATCTCTTGATGGAATTTAGCCACCTCCTGGGCACAGCTGAAGCAGGGGCTCCAGGAGATGAAGCAGGTGACCCTGCAGCACTGGGCCAGGTCCAGCTTCCAAAAGGAAATCAGGTCCAGGAAGCACAGCTCTGCATGGCAATCTTCAGGGAAACCAGAATTATTTGAAGCCTCATTGAGTATGATGCCCCTGTGCTGGTCCAGCCAGACCCAGGTGCCATTGTCCTGGCACTCCACCTTGTAACACAGGTAGGTCTGTGCTGTCCAAGGACCGATGGGTCATTGGTAAAGTTGTACGTGAATGTGCCTGGATCCATCAGGTGTCTGAGAACCTCCCCCAGTGTGATGTGCAGTAATGTATAATGTTTAGACAGTTTGTTCCAAAGCTTGTGCAATCTTTGGTTGTACACGAACTTGTCCCAACACTGTTGAAATTCACCATAATTCATGATCTTCATGGTGGCATACAAACTGTCTCTTTCTGACACAGTCTGTGAAGCTCCTCTGGGTAAGGTGGGTCCCAGAATTAGTAGAGGCAAGCCACGAAGATGGTCAGGGTGACCTTGCTGTCCTAGGCCCAGAACTTGGCCACATTCCTTGCACACACTAGACAGCAGCTCCAGAATACGTACCAGGTGACCTCGTACTTCTGGTCACTATGCAGCTACCATTTGCAGAATGAATGGAGGAATCTCATCTCTGGGTGGCATTGAGGCTTGGAATAGACGTGGCTTTGAAAGATCTTTGCAACCAAAAGGGGACTTGAGGAGTCCTTTGTTTTCATTTTCACTTTGTAGCACAGTCAGACAGTATTCTGATGAGAAAAGATGGGTCTATTATAAAAGTTGTAGAAGAACGTGTCTGGATTCATTCATGCCACCATGTTTCTGTTCTGAGGCTTCATCTTTCGCCAGCTAGTCCCAACCATGATCTTTGTCTGGACCACCAGGGTTTCACTTTCTGGAAAAGGCATCTTATAAAACCATCAGATCTCCTGAGAACTCACTCGCTATCATGAGAACAACAGCATGGGGAAATTGCCACCATGATTCAATTACCTTCCAACAACAGATAGGTATTATGAAAACTACAAGATGAGATTTGGGTGGGGACACAGCCAAACCATATTATTTCACCCTTTACCCCTCCCAGATATATTGTCCTTGCATTTCAGAACACAATCATGCCTTCTCAACAGTCCCCCAAAAATCTTAACTCATTCCAGCATTAACCTAAAAGTCCAAGTCCAAAGTCTCATCTGAGATAAGGCAAGTCCCTTCCACCTATGAGCCTGTAAAATCAAAAGCTAGTTACTTCCCAGATACAGTGGGAGCACAGGCCTTGGGTAAATACACCTATTCCAAATGGCAGAAATTTGTCAAAATGAAGGGGCTACAGGACCCATACAAGTCCAAAATCCAGTGGGGTAGTCAAATCCTAAAGATCCAAAATGATCTCCTTTTACTCCATATCTCACAATAGGTCACACTGATGCAAGAAGTGAGCTTCCATGGTCTTGAGCAGCTCCACCCCAGTGGGTTTGCATATTACAGTCCCCATCTCTGCTTCCTTCACAGGCTGGTGTTAAGCGTCTGCAGCTTTTCTAGGCACATGTTGCAAGCTGTCAATGGATCTAGCATTCTAGGATCTGGAAGATGGTGGCTCTCTTTTCAAAGCTCTGCCAGGCAGTGCCCCAGTGGGGAGTGGCAGGGGGGCTCTGACCCCACATTTTCCTTCTGCTCTGCCTTGTCAGAGGTTCTCCATGAGGGCTCCACCCTTACAACAAACTTCTTCCTGGATATCCAGCCATTTCCATACATCCTCTGAAATCTAGTTAGAAGTTCCCAAACCTCAATTCTTGACTTCTGTACACCTGCAGGCCCAACACCATGTGGAAGCTGCCAAGATTTGGGAAGCTGCCACAGCCTGAGTTATACCTTGGCCCCTTTGAGCCACAGCTAGAATGCAGGGCACCAAGTTCCTGGACTGCACACAGTAGGGGGGTCCTGACCATGGCCCCTGAAACAATTTTTTCCTCCTAGGCCTCTGAGCCTGTAATGGGAAAGGCTGCCATGAAGACCTCTGATATGCCCTGGAGACATTTTCCTCAATTAACATTTGGCTCCTTGCTACTTATGCAAATTTCTGCAGCCAGCTTGATTTTATCCTCATAAAAAGGGTTTTTCTTTTCTGTCACATTGTCAGGCTGCAAATTTTCTGAACTTTTATGCTCTGCATTCCTTTTAAACATAAGTTCCTATTCTAAACTATATCTTTGTGAATACCTAAAACAATATTTTTGAAGGCACCGAAGTCACTTCTTGAATGCTTCGCTACTTAGATATTTCTTCCACCAGGTACCTTAAATAATCTATCTCAAGTTCAAATTTCCACAGATATCTAGGGCAGGGGCAAAATGCCACCAGTCTCTGTGCTAAAACATAGCAAGAGTCACCTTTGTTTCAGTTCCCAACAAGTTTCTCATCTCCATCTGAGACCAGCTCAGGCTGGATGTCTTTATCCATATCACTATCAGGATTTTGATCAAAATCAGTCAACAAGATTCTCGGAAGTTCCAAACTTTCCCATGTCTTTCTGTCTTCTTCTGAACCTTCCAAACTGTTCTAACCTCTGATTGTTACCCAGTTCCAAAGTCACTTACACATTTTTGGGTGTTTTTACAGCAGCACCCCACTTTCCGTGATACCAATTACTGTATTAGTCTGTTCTCACACTGATATAAAGTACGCACCTGGGACTGGATAATTTACAAAGGAAAGAGGTTTAATTGATTCACAGTTCTGCATTGCTGGAGAGGCCTCAGGAAACATACAACTATGATGGAAGGAGAAGCAAACACAATCTTCTTCCTATGATGGCAGGAAGGAGAAGTACTGTACAAAAGGGTGAAAAGCCCCTTATAAAACCAGATCTCATAAGAACTTTCTCACTATCATGTGAACAGCAGCATGATTCTAACTGTTGCTGTTAAATTGCCTTTCACTTCAATTACCTTTCACTAGGTGCCTCTTATGACATGTAGGGATAATGGGAACTACAATTCAAAATGATATTTGGAGGTGATACAGCCAAACTGTAACAATACTCATAACCATACTCAGAAGCAGCTAGGGCAGTGGCTCTTGTTTCCATTTCAAGATGAAGAGATTAAGCTCTTTCTAAGGGCACATTGAGTGAATCAGTTGTATAAGTGGGATCAGGACACAAGGTTCTGACCCTCAGGCCCATGCTGCTGGGTCTACATTGCCTTTCATTCCACTCTGGGGTCTTTTGAGAATTATTGAGCCCAATTTCTCTAGTCTCTTACTGGCTGCCTATTTTAAATCTAGTGGCACAACTTATTCACTATGAAGGGAACGATAGTCAGATTTTGCCATCCAAATTGTCAACTATTCTGGCCTCTCTTTTCCTACCCTCTTACATTAACCCCACACACTCTGGGTGGGTTTAGCTCCTTCTTCATAGTCAATTCCTGTTAGAGTGCAAGGAAGGGCTGGGCAGGGGGCTTCTTGAGTGAGCACTGCTGTCCCTCTGTGGTGGGCTCTGCTCTCTAGACCCTCAAAGTCACTTAATAACTGGCAAAAGGGTTTGACTGCTCACCACTTGTTGAAAGAAGTCAAAATATGTGATAGAAAAAGAGTGAGACTTTATTATCTATGCCAGCAAAGGGAAAAGTGAGTGAAAAAATTTTACTTTTCAACCTGTGGAGGGAATGCAGTGGTTTTTAAAGAAAGAGTTTGGAATGCAGAAGAGGCAGGGGATGCAAGGAGGTGCTAGGTGACGTGACATGCTCCAATGGTTCATCTTGAATTATTGTTTCATCTGATGTAGGAACTGGTGTCATTGGGGGCCCTACTAGGTCACAGATTAATCACAGTCAATCTTGTAGTCAATCTGTATCTGGGAGTGGGTTCCAGTGTTGAAGTAATCTTTTATTGAAGAGAGAATTCAGGAGGTGCCTCATTGCATCAGGATTTGGCCCATGAAGATTCCTAAGGAAATATATGACCAGATAAGTGAGCATGATGTAAGGTTAACAAGCATCCAGATAAACATATGCATAAGGCATGGGAGCATAAGGTGGAGTGTTACAGCACCTTCCAAGGCTGTATTTCAAGACAAGAGAAAACACCTGCAGTTTTTCTCACTAAGTGAAAGGACAAAAAAAATGTTGTAAATGCAGTTTGAAGCCAAGCTGCTCAGTAACAACTTGATAAGAGAAAGTCCAAAATGGGTAAAGCATCACGGTGTCACATTCCTTACTTACCACAGGTTAGGAACACTGTACAGGAACTGTGTAGACACGGTATAATGCCAGATTTCTCAAGGTGCTTTTTAAAAAAAATTTTTTTTAAGATAGAATTTTAATCTTGTTGCCCAGGATGGAGTGCAATGGTGTGGTCTCGGCTCACTGCAGTCTCTACCTCCCAAGTTCAGGTGATTCTCCTGCCTCAGCCTCTCAAGTAGCTGGGATGACAGACATGCACCACCATGCCAGGCTAATTTTGTAATTTTCGTAGAGATAGGGTTTCACCATGTTGTACAGGCTGGTCTTGAACTTGTGGCCTCAGGTGATCCACCCACTTTGGCCTCCCAAAGTCCTAGGATTACAGGCGTGAGCCACCATGCTCAGCCCCAAGGGGCTTTTATTGGCTCTATAACTCAAGTTTCATTTCTTAAAAGAAAGCACATCATTACAGACAAAGCTTGGTAAAATTCCTTCTACCTCAAATCAAAATAATTTAATTGTCCAGTCCCTTCCATTGCTGAGCCGCAACTGTTTTTTTTTTTCTATCTGTTCAATCAGTGGGTTAGATTTTACAACCTGTAAGGGGGCTTTTAGCTCCAACAGTTAATATGTCTATGAGACAAGGTGAATAAGTTAGGGTTAGGAGGAGTGATAAAAAAGCAAAAATTTTAAGACCTTGTCTTAAAATTCATAGATGCAGTAAAGTCTCTTTTTTTTTTTTTTGATGTTGAAATGTTGTTTTTTCTTTTTTTTTTTTTTAATTTTTTATTGGATTATAGGTTTTGGGGTACATAAGCAGAGCATGCAAGACAGTTGCGTAGGTACACACATGGCAGTGTGCTTTGCTTTTCTTCTCCCCTTCACCCACATTTGGCATTTCTCCCCAGGCTATACCTACCCACCGCCCCCTCCCACTGGCCCTCCCCTTTTCCCCCCAATAGACCCCAGTGTTTAGTACTCCCCTTTCTGTGTCCATGTGTTCTCATTTTTCATCACCCACCTATGAGTGAGAATATGCGGTGTTTCATTTTCTGTTCTTGTGTCAGTTTGCTGAGGATGATGTTTTCCAGATTCATCCATGTCCCTACAAATGACATGAACTCATCATTTCTGATTGCTGCATAATATTCCATGGTGTATATGTGCCACATTTTTCCAATCCAGTCTATTATCAATGGGCATTTGGGTTGATTCCAGGTCTTTGCTATTGTAAACAGTGCTGCAATGAACATTCGTGTACATGTGTCCTTATAGTAGAACGATTTATAGTCTTTTGGATATATACCCAGTAATGGGATTGCTGGGTCAAATGGAATTTCTATTTCTAAGGCCTTGAGGAATCGCCACACTGTCTTCCACAATGGTTGAACTAATTTACACTCCCACCAAGAGTGTAAAAGTGTTCCTTTTTCTCCACATCCTCTCCAGCATCTGTTGTCTCCAGATTTTTTAATGATCGCCATTCTAACTGGCGTGAGATGGTATCTCAATGTGGTTTTGATTTGCATCTCTCTGATGACCAGTGACGATGAGCATTTTTTCATATGATTGTTGGCCTCATATATGTCTTCTTTCGTAAAGTATCTGTTCATATCCTTTGCCCACTTTTGAATGGGCTTGTTTGTTTTTTTCCT